TTTTTCAGCGAGTTATTGGCAATTTTTATTTTTTAGTTTTCATTGTTTTCTTAAATAATTTGACTCTCCTGCTGCATTTTCTGAGTCTGCTATGCTGTTCTTTTCCTCAGTGTTGCCTCCTCTTCACTTTTTTTTTGTTGCGCTTCTTGAGCGTTCCGCGCTTTGATGCTTGTTGTTGTTTGTCTGTTTGTTTGTTTGTTAGTTGCTGGACCGCCGCGTTGAGCCGCCGCACAGAATTGAAAGTAATTTATTTCTTTATTGTTTTACGAACTTACAATGCAACTGGTCGTCGAACAGGACGCCAAACCACCGGACGACCGACCGACCGACCGCAGCACCAAGTGGCTGTGCAGGCTGCATTGAGGTAGACAAGCTGACCGTACACTGCCTGGGCAGACAGACAAACTGGCGGATGGGTCAGGAAAAGCAGCAGCAGCTAGCCGAGCCATGCCACAATCCAATCGAGTGCGTGTTGTGGTCGGTCGAAAATTTGTGGCATTGTCGGCTACTCGGCTGGCAAGGGACTGCTGAAAAGGAAAGGGAGGTAAGGGTGCGACTGCAAGCTAAGGTTCGCCACGGCCAGATGCAACATGCAACTTCAAAGCCTCCGGACACGATTGACTGCCAACAATGCAGTAGGGTAAACAGTACAATCATCACAACAGCAGCAACAACAGCAATAACGCGAATAATAGTTGCAATAATAATAAAGGCAAAAAACAATAAACAGCAATAAAATAAGAGCGAAAGAAATGTAAACAACTATTTAAGCGTAGCAGTTAAAGTGTAGCTCATCAGTGTCATTTGGATTTGCAAGGTATGTGCTGCAACGACAGCAACAACAACAACAACCCCAACCACAACAACGAAAGGAACAACAGCACAATCAAGTGGCCGTGTGACGCTTGTGCCGACGCCACGCCACGCCACGCCACACCAAGGCAGGCACGCATACCCATCGCGCGCCCATCCATACCAGCCAAGCAGTCAGCCATACGTATCGCCCATCGCTCTAAGGAATGCGCGCATGCGCAATGCAAAATGCAAAATGTCAGCTCCACTTCACTCCACGCCACGCCACGCCGCACAGTAATGCTAAACTTTCATTTACTGTTCAAAATAATCCAGGCCTTTTTAACTGATTTAATAAATTTTTATTTTGCAAGAAAGCTAATAGAATTTTGAATAGAATTGTAGAGCTAGATTTTTGCATTTTTATTTATATAAGGTGGTGTTACTAGATCAGCTGATTTTGTGTATTTGTTTCGCCTCACGGCTTCGAATGTGAAATTGAAAAATTTTGTTTGCATTTAAATGTCTAGTACGCCCGAAAAATTATTATTCTTTTTCCAAAAACTCTGAAAAAATTTTTAAATTTTGGTGAGCATTTTTTTATTAACTAGTGTTCGCCCAGCGGTTGAAATTCAACCTTTTCAATTAAGTGGGCTGAGCTGAGCCGAGTTGAGTTTAGTAGAGCTAATTGAAGTGAAGTGAGGTGAAATGCGTTGAACAACATAACAGTATATAACACAACATAACATGACATAACATAACATAACATAACCTGAAATATCATAATATAACATAACTTAACATAACATAACATAACACAACATATTACAACATAACACAACATAACATAACACAACATAACATAACATGACGTAACATAAGAGGACATAACATTACATAACATAATATACAATAACATAACATGCCATAACATAACATAATACAACATAACATAACATAACATGGCATTCTTCCATTTTATCTCTTTCTTTTTCTCTCTTTTTGTCTCTACCTTTATCTATATTATTTTCTCTATCTTTTTTATCTTTTCATTTTTATATTTATCATTTCGTTGACTATTAAGATTTTTATCTTCATTATTTTCTCCACATCGTCATATTCACCCACATCTTTGCGATTGTATAAGTATTTAAATGTACCTTCCTCATTGTCTTTATGTTTCGGTTTCTTTTACTTTTATTTTAATCTTTGCTTTATACCTTTCCTCCACATACTCACTTTTCGTCCTTCCTTGTATAAGTCTTAATCTATTCATGTTCATACATAAATCTTGTTCCTAAGCTGCTGCTAAGGATGTTTCTCTTATTCATTATCAATATTAAAACATACATTTAGGAGGCAT